CTGACGCAGGTACGGGAACTGAACCTGAGTCTCCCTATGAATGACTTGGACTGTGTCAGCCCTGTTGATCCTTTGCCACATGCTGCTTCCGCAGCATTCATTGCATACCCGCATCTGACTGATGCTCTGCATTGTGCGGCGGTTGTAGTCGATTTGACTGCAGTTGGGGGCCGGATCTTCAGCATAGTGCTCCCTGACCTCCTGGGGTATGAAGACTGGGTCAACTTTGTTGCCCCGATGATCCCTAATGGCGTTGACGGTGCCCTTCTGTACGTTGGAAGGTCCCAGCAGCCACATGACCCTCGCCAAGTGATTCAGCTCCTCCACGGTAGCCTTCTGGCAGTGGTACCGGAAGGGTTCAACAGAGGCCTTATTCGAGGCAACACAGAGCTATTTGAGGACCGGAACAGTTGGCAGGGTAACAGTGCAGTGCCACAATCACCGCGTACACCTGGAGTCTGCCTGCTTTTCGAAGATAGGCGCTGGTTCTTACATAAACGGGACTACCCAGGTGCCCGCTTTCATGAGGCTGTCGCCCTGTGTGTCGGGTTGCCGCCTGACGAAATCACCATTGGCGTTGCTCGGCACCCGCAGATCCGCGATCTTTGCCTGCATGGGGAACGCTGCTTCTCTGTCGCGACGCTGATTCACCAGCCGCCGCCGTTGCCTGTCCCCCCGGCGAGAGTTAGCCGTCCTGACTATTTCATCTTCTTGGACTTTCGTCCTCTGGGATTGCGCCCCCATTGCATCTACCAACAGTCTAATCTGGTCCATCTCCCAACGATCTGCAACCAGCACCTGTTGGCCGTGCCGCCGGACTACGACATCCACGTAGATGGGGGTGTGCGCAACGGTTTTTACATTGAGGTTGTGTCAGAGGCTTGTTTGACATTCCATGCCACTCGGCCCAACACCGATGATGAGCCGACTGATGATGGTGACGACCCCGACGATGATGGGGAAGACAGCCAACTGCATCGCGATGCGGCCGCCCCTGAAAGTGACTCCAATAGCGAGCAGAGTGATGCGCATGATGCAGGTGACGAACGACCTCGGAGTCGGTCGCCCCGTCGGTATGGTTATGCGGGCTGTTCTACGGATCCCAGCCCCACAGGGATCTCTGCCCTTGAGTTGTTGTGGGTTGCGGCCGAGCCTAGGGAGACTCACACCTCGCGTTACAGGGCGCACCAAGCTAATGAGGCCCCCGGGACCCCCTGCGTGCACGCTGTGAAGGACCGCCACGGGCCCACGCATGGTGTGTCTGACACACAGGTCTCTGAGTCGGCGCAGCCCGTCCATGTGTCGCGTTCTGCAACCCCGGCCAGCTTTCCAGGTTTGGGACGTCAGGCCAACGAACAGATGCACATGGTAGGCAGACAAATCTCATTCAGAGAGGGGCGACCTTTCCGGAACCTGGGTAATAGGTGGGCTATAGTTTTGGCGCCGCATTCCCGAGCAAGCGTCTTTCAGGTGCCAATATGTGTCCCTGGTTGCCTTGGCCATGTGATTGACTCCGTACGTGGGCGCCTCTCGGAGCTCTGGGCCTCGGTTGATGCTGAGATTGTGCCAACTGAGCCACCCTGCAGTTTTGTTCTGGTTCCCGCGGGTTTATCCCCGTCAGGATGGAGAGTTATCATCTACGATTTCAGGCCTATGCAAGGGACAATATATGCAGCTGTTGTCTTTGAGCATATGAACCGAGGAGTGTGCGAAATGGAGGCTGGCTGTCATGGCCTTGCGTCCTTTGAGATATTCCTTGAGGGGCAGGATTTCCCCGTCCCTGCTGGTGCGAGCTTTTCTGTGCGCAACGGGAGTATCTTACAATTTCGCCATCACGGCGAAGCACCAGTTTGGTTTGGTTCCTTGGAAACTAGGCTAGACGTTGTCGCTTTTTGGCCTGAAGCATGTGGTGCCCATGATGTGCATGATCACATCCCACTGCTCATCCTGCGCGATGACCAAGCCATCGTCATAAGAGGGACATCCCAGGATGCCTGTGACGTCTGTGCGGAAGTCCTAGACAGGGACCCTGACAAAATTCTAATGTTCTCCCCGGCAGGAACTGCAATGAGCAACGTTGCCCTACGAGGCGAGCATTCCTCGCCCCGATTGCGGACAGAAAGGGCCGCGGCATATTCCTTGACGCTCGGCCTGTAGGAATGTTGCCGCAGTTTATGTATACAAGTGAAGAAGAGGTTAACCCCGATTCTCTTGTTAGTTGGTTGGGGCTCAATCCTCCGCCCGGCTTCAGTATAGAGGTCTTTGCAGACCAGTGGGAAGGTGACAAGCTGCGAGTCCAAGACGGATTTGTGGTTGGTTTTGCTTACTCACGTACCCGCGTCAAGGGTGGCGAGGACATGCCAAGCTGTTGGGCATGTACGGCTCTTGATGAACAAGACGGTAGTTTGCCGGAAGGTGAAGGACAGGCTCCCGACGCAACACAGATCATAGGCCAAGAAAGCAGTGGGCTTGAACGTAATGAGGCTCCAAGCCCTGACATTATGGACGCCCCTTGCAATATGCCAGGCTCTGCCCATGAACCGCTTGCTGATGTGACCAGCTTGGGGTTTTGGAACCAATCGGCCAATATCCCAGTGATTGCCGATGAACGAAAGGATAGGGACAGGTCAGGTCAAGGATCTCCACAGGTACAAGGTACCCGCCCAGGCGCTGCTAGGACTGGCTTCTGTGACTTTCTGCCGTCCCTTGCTTGCAAGCTCCTTGCCGAGCCCGGGAATGCAAGTGTGCCAAGTGCTCAAGTTGCGATGCTCCGTGATGTTGCCGGTGCCATGGGAGATCCATGGCCGTATTTTACACCGGCGGAGCTGCCTCTTCGACTGCTTGTTGATCCTATTCCTGCAGGTCTGAGCCCTGACGAGCTACCCACGCGCGTGTCGTTCGGGGTGATCACACCTGACTATGTGTTGGAAAGCGTAACCTTTGATTTGCAGATTCCCGCCACGGTCGACCAGGCCCTTGCTGAGCTGCATCGGCATCGGGATCCGGTTGGGGGGGGCGCTTTCCCTTTTCTTGTTGACATCTTCCCGCAACCACTGCCTAAGTGGGGCCTCGCCATGGCGTTGCCGCGCTGGGCCCGTTGGGACTTTGTCGCTTGCATAGATGCGCGGCGCATCGACGAGAGGCTTTTTGCCAGTCACGTGCCGGTTGTCGCTGATAGGTTCAGTGTCCTCCGCGTTGCGGGGCTACCTTTAGGCAGCGCGATCGACATCTATGTCGGTACAGCACAGGAGCCTATGCAGGACGGTGAGGAAGTCCGCCTCGAGTAGGGACTCTTGATCACCTTGACCCCCCAAGGTAGCCAGCCGCCTGAGCTCTATAGCTTGACAGAACTGCTATCATCTCCCCTTACATGGGACGAAGGTCCGGCATTTCCAGTTGGGCCGCCAGGCCCGTACCAGTGCTTGTGCACCACCAGTGGGTACAGATTGCTAGACTTTGGAACTAGTAGTCCGCATGAGCTTGCCGAGGTCGTTGCTGTTGCCGTGGGTTATTGCCCAAACAACACTGTTTTGGTACACGCTTCTCAGGGCTTGTGGGATGTAACCGTGCTTGGTTTCCGATGCCATACCGTCCTCGCGGCTGATGAATGTGATGTCGAAGCCACCCCTGATTTGTCACTCGCTATTGTGGACTGTCGGCCTTTGCTGCAGGGCTGGTTCTGCTTGCGCTTTCAGGGTGGATGTGCATCCATGTCGATGCTCGCTGAAAACCTTGGTGCTTTCGCTCCACCGGGCTGGGCAATTCAAGTGACGGGAGCAAACCAACAAGGTGACAATATCATCCTTCGCCCTGGGCAATGCCTTGTTGCCCAGTACGTTGTTGATGGCACAGCCCCCACGACGGAAAGCAGTGACCAGAGCCCGGCGAGTGACGATGGCGATGATTCTCCCAATACATCGGTAGATGGTTCAGGTAGTGACGATGCAGCCCCACATGTGGGCACGCATGTTGCGTCTTCTGCTGATCAAAGCAGGCATCCGGTGGACAGGCAAGGCGGGCAGATAATGCAGTTGGTCCTCGCGTACCTTGGCATTAGTTGCCTTTTGTGCTGTGAACATATCGCCCTGATGCTCGTGTTTGGAGCCTTTTGTCGCCGGCAGCGTACCGGCTGGGTTGTTTGTTTGGCCCTTGCAGCCTGCTGGTGTCAAGAGGTGATTGCCGTCCAGACTTTCCATATTGGCGACCGGGTACCCCTACAGCCCCAAAAACGAAATGGCGAGACTCTTGACTTAGGGACCTCTGTGTACGGCCCTGGATCTCGCTGCAAGGCCAATGAAGGTCCGCGTGCCGTCCCGACCCCTGCTCGAGCCTTGGGGCCAGCGCCGCTGATTGTGCACTGCGGTGAGGGGGTCAGCGTAGACTCCCAGTTAAGATCCCCTCTCTTTGTAGATGGCCCAATAGGCCCGACTCTGCTTGAGGAGAGTGTGCGGGTCTCATGTGAGGAACCCCTTATTAAGGCTGCAGCTGTCCTTGAAACGCTCGCAGAGTATTTCCAAGATCGTACCAGGCCTTTGGGCGAGGTACATGGGGCGCAACCGTACCCTATGCTCTGGCCAGGCGTAGCCTCTCCTGCCTCCGAAGCCTGTGGGTTACATCCTGATTTTGATTTGGACAAACCCCTAATGTTTGGTGACACGCCTGTTGGTTTTACGACACGACAAATGCATGCTTTGTTCCGCCCCAACTTTGCGTGTCTCAGTTTGCAGCAGTTCAGAGCACGGATCGCTCCGCGATACCGCGCCGAACTGTGCAAGCACATGCAACAGGACTTCAGGCAGGTCCCGCAGGGCCGTGTGTGTTACGCCGACGGCTCTTTCCTGGCTGGCCAAGGGGGCTTGTCCCCAAGGTCAGCCTGGTCATGTGTTTTCTTTGATTCATACACCAGATCGTGCGGCGTCATGTCCGGGCCTACATGGCGCTATCACTGTGATGCATGCCAGTCTGCGTTTCAGGCAGAATGTTGCGCGATCATTGTAGGCATGTGGCTTGGTGCCTCGGTCTGGCAGGGACGTCCCTTTGCAATTTTGTCGGACTGCCAGTCTGCCATTGCCATCGCTTCAGCTCAAGCAGCCCCACATACTTCAGGCATTGCCCGTATCATGGGCCATGTTGCTGTTTGTTGTCAAACCCTGACGCAGCAAGGTATAGGCTTGCAATATACGCCGGGCCACGCTGGTGTTTTGGGCAACGAACTAGCCGATCTTGCCGCCAAGTCAGCGGTTGCCGGTTGCCCTCTAGGAGAACTGAACTGGCACGTTGCGGCGGACATTGATTGGTGGGGTCATCAGGGGGCATTGTGGTCTTGGTGTAGCGTCGTCCTAGGATGGGCTATGGGGGATGACGCATTGCCCTCACCTGTAGGCGACAGGCTCAACCATGAGCGTGACCATGGTGGACTCAGTCCGGCAGAAATTGTCCAGCCTTTTGCCCCGGAAGTCTCGTCCAATGAGGTTGCTGTTGCCCAAGGACTGCTCCACCTTCGAGTTGCGTCATACAATGCTTTATCCCTAGCCACGGAAAAAACACGGGTTGTTGATGAAGGCATAGCTTTCCAGGCAGCTAGACCGGCTCTCTTGGCAAGTCAGCTAGAGAAGGCAGGCGTCTGCTGTGCGGCAATTCAGGAGGCCCGCACAGCACCTGGCCATCTCGTCACCGGGCCTTTCCTCAGGTATTGCTCAGGTTCCGCGCGAGGCCACTTAGGCGTGGAAATGTGGTTCCTGAAAGGCCACGCATTTGTGACGGCGGCTTCCGGCGTCGCATGTCACGTTGCCTTCGAGCCCTCGGCTTTTGTCGTGCTTGCCAATGACCCAAGAAGGCTGTTGGTTTCCTTCAAGCAGGGCAGTTGTCAGATACTCTTTGCATCCCTCCATGCGCCACATCGGGGCGCCGCGGCCGAAACAATCGCGTCCTAGGTGGAAAGAAACCGAACTTCTCCTACATAGGGAGGGCAGAGGCAAGTGTATCGTTGTTGGGGCTGATTGCAACGCGAGCCTCGGCTCGGTCGAGTCTGAGGCTGTTTCGTGTGCTGGGGCTGAAGAGCAGGATTTGGCGGGGGACATGCTCCATAGCTTGCTGCGGAAGTGCGAGCTGTGGGCGCCGGCCACATGGGACGGCGTGCAAAGCGGCCCCACTTGGACTTTTATGCAGCGCCGCAATGGCGCTCTGGCAAGACCCGACTTCGTTTTCATCCCCGCGGCCTGGCGCCAGGGTAAAGTCTCTGCCTGGACTGACCCTGATGTCTCTACTGCTAACATGGTCATAGATCACTTAGCCACAGTAGTTGAGGTCCGGGTGCCTATCCAATGCAACATGAAGCCCGCCACCAAGCCCAAGCCCCGCATTGATGTCAAGGCGTTATGTGCCCCAGCCAACCGGCAGAAGCTGGAGGAACTTTTGAGCCAGGTCCCGAGGCCACCGTGGCATACTTCGGCCCATGCACATGTCGCCATCGTCACAAAACACTTGCAAGAAACCCTGGCAGAGGCTTTCCCGTTGGATGGCCGCCGGCCCCTGCACCCCTTCTTGTCGGACGTTGCGTGGGGCTTGCAGAAAGAAGTGGCATGGCTGCGGCGGAAATGCGCTCGGACCAGGGATTTCATCAGACAGCAAACCATGATTGCTGTTTTTACTGCGTGGCAATCTCGCGCGACAGGTGAGCCAGCTTCATCTGCATGGCTCCGGGACGCACAGCTTTCAGGGGCTTTGTACGGATTCCGTTTGGGCTTTCTAGCTAAGGCGCTAAAAGCTAGATGCAAGCAAGACCGTGCGGCTTACATGGAGTCTCTTGCAGACGAAGTGCAGACAAACCCAGCTACCGCTTTCCACGCAGTAAACAGGTTGATGTGCCGCAGGCGTAGGAAGCCTTATGAGCCAACGGTTTTGCCGGCCGTGCTGAATTCTGAAGGCCATCTCTGCACAACGCCTGAGGAGACTATCCGAAGATGGAGGGAGCATTTCAGTTCTCTTGAGGACGGTGTGGATACCAGCGTGTGGACTCTGGGAGCTGCTGCAATGCAGCCTGTTCAGGAGGCCTGGCCTTTGCCGGGCGACTTGAGTTCCATGCCCACGCCGGTTGACTTGCAGTCAGCAATCCTTGCGGCGAAGAGAGGCAAAGCTTGTGGTCCGGACCGTATTCCGGGAGAGCTGGGGCTGGCTGCGGCGCCGAGTCTCCAGCGCCTGCTGTTTCCTCTTTTGCTAAAGTTGGGGTTGCTAGGAGAAGAAGGTATAGGGCACAAGTCAGGGACCCTTACTTGGCTGTGGAAGGGCAAAGGGCCTCATTCACACTGCAGTTCATTCAGGGGTATCCTGTTGTTGTCCAATCTGTGTAAAGCCGTGCATAGAGCCTTCAGGCCTTGTCTCCAACGGCACTATGATCAGACAGCGTCGTCTTTACACCTAAGCGGACGCAAGGGCGGTTGTGTCCTGTTCGGCTCTCATGCGGTACGGGCCTTCACCAGATGGAAGGTCGGCCAAGGCGGAACGGCAGTCGTTCTTTTCGCTGATGTAGCTTCTGCCTATTACGCGACCCCCCGCGAGCTTGCTGCCCGAGGTCCAGGTCAGGAGGCGCCGGGCCTGGAAGACCAGTTGGGTACGGCGCACCTTCATAACGATGACGAGCTGGACCCCATGGTACAGCAGCAACGTCCATCAGCTTTGGCACAAGATCGGGCCACACCGTGGCTGCAAGCCTTGACATGGCAGTTAAACACGGGAACTTGGATGCATCTCAGTGGAGATACAGTTCCGGTGGCAACTAACCGCGGCACCCGTCCCGGCTCCGCCTGGGCAGATTTGACATTTGGAGTCATAATTGGACGGGTGCTTCGTGTCCGTGATGCTTGCAGGCTGCAGGCACGCACCGCTTCTTGTGTTCCCCGAGTACCGTGGGACGGTTGCCGATCATGGCAGCCGGTCGAGAGAGGCAAAACTGCCATACCGCTTTGCGATGTGGTCTGGGCAGATGACTTGTCAGAGTGCCTCAGTGTAGACTGTGCTGGTGACACAGGCCGCATCGCCGCTACCGAGGCGGGCCACCTTGCGGACGCATTCGCAAGTCACAGCCTAGACCTGTCTTTCGGTCCCCGGAAAACAGCCGCCATCGCTAGCATCCGAGGCCCGGGGTCAAGGGCTGTCCGAAGGTCGCTGTTTGCTGGCGATGCCACCTTGGCGGTGCTCCGAGAGAACTGCGGGGCGTCGCGGTTGCCTTTGGTGACGCGGTACCGGCACCTGGGCGTGCAGCAGGCTACCGACGGCAAAATACACTGTGAGGTTAAAAGCCGGATCGCTGCGGCTTGGGGTGCCTTTCGAGAAGGGCGAACCAGAGTGTTTCGTTGCAAGCGTGTCGCCATCCATCGTCGCGGCGTCCTGCTCGAGACCCTCGTCATGCGCAAGTTGACTTTTGGGGCAGGGGCGTGGCCCCCCCTTGGTGCTTGTGACCTCCGACTCTTCGCAGGAGCGGTTACCTCGCTATACCGTGCAGTTATTTGTGTCAAACCGCAAGATGACCAACATCTGTCGGTTTCCATGATCTGCGCGTTAGTTGGACAGGTTGACCATGCCACGTTGTTGAAGGTGGAACAGCTGCGTTACGTGCGACAGCTCGTAGCCGCAGCGCCGGACGAGCTGTGGGCGCTGGTGAGGCTAGACGAGCACTACCTCGCCCTGCTGCGTGATGCTCTAGCCTGGCTTTATGAGCGTGTCCAAACTACTGTTGAGCTCCCACACCCATTAGTGGATTGGACACCGTGGTGCCAGCTGATGGTTCAGCGTCCGGGTCGATACAGAGGGATTGTTAAACGTGCCAAAGGCTTGGAGATGTGTAGGATTCAGTGCCATGCGGCGCTGCAGGCGCTGTACCGCACGTTTCAGGCTATTGCTGTGGGCCACGAAACCCGGTCCACCCAGGCCAACCAACACTTCACCGAGGCTTGCTTGATCTGCAAAAAGGGGTTCGTCTCGCGCTCGGCCTGGGCCATGCACTCGTCGAAGTTGCACGGCTATCGCATTGCGGCTTCTATCCTCCTTGGTTCTGACAAGGGTACCTTATGCCGTGGCTGTGGCAAATGCTATGCCAGCTCGGCAAGGCTACGCCGGCACCTGTTGCATGCGCACAATTGTCGCAAACAGTGGGGTGCTTTTGAGTTGCAGGAAAACGTTGTGGTTCCCTGCTTGCACAGCCAGCAACCTCCCCTTTCCCTGGAAGGAGTTCTTGAGCTACAGCAGCCGGATATTGTTCGCGATGACGTTCATCCGGGCCTTTTGCGTGCCCTCAAGGAGCTGGGTGATGCCAGTGCAGAAGCAATCTGGGCAACGGTTACTGAGTTTGTAGAGCCGTTGGCAGTCCTCAGGAGGACCCTGGAAGCTTGGCGTAGTGACAGCGATTTCCCCCTTGCTTGTGAAGAGGCGCTCGAAGATGCCCTGCTACAGCTTGATCCCGATGTTTGCTGTGATACATACTGCCACCCCAAGCGACCTTGTACGTCAGAGGAGTGCTGCACCGAACTCCCGGGCCCTTTTGACACGCACTTCGCTTTCATCATGACGGGAGCGGTTGCCACTTTCAAGCTTGATGAGCCTCCATGCCCTGCCTTTGCCTACCCCTTCAAGGGAGGGGCTCCTCTTAGCTCGGCAAAGAAGCAAGCTGCGTATGTTGTGGCAGCGTGTGATGTCATTGGGCTCTTTGCCCAGCAGTCTAAGTCTTCTAGGGTTTTCCTGTGTGCCTCCCGCAGAGCCCTGGCAGCCCTCGAGCCTGCAGCTACGTGGTTAGCTTCAGCAGGCTTTATACACGTCGGCGAAGGGTTTCATAGCCCCGCTGACTAGTTTCACTTGAATTCAGTTTGCAGTAGGCGCGACCAACGGTCTCCCAGCCTGCGGAATGAAAATGAATATATATATATATATGTATATATATATATATATGTATATGTATATCGGGTTAAAGGTATATAAAGGGTACTTTGTGGCGTTTGGGGACTAAATGATGATGCTTGCGCTGGCTTCCTCTGTCTTCTGGTCTCACTCAAAGCCGAGCTTTCTCAAAGTGAAGAGGATGTGCGGTGGTCTGAGCAATGCTACCTAGCCACCAAATCGCCGGAAGACTCTGCAGAGCCCCGGATAACTAGCCCGTACGACCTCCGAAAAGCCCTGCAGAAGAACTGCATGCCTACCATGAATCACAAAGTACATGCAGATTTGTTTAGGGTATCTTCGCGTGTATGCGTGTATATCATCCGCAAATATCTGTCTAGGTGTATATGCACATATGTATACAAATATACATATGTATGTGTTCATTTGTTTTTTCTATATACATATATAAACATATATATATATATAAACATATATATATATATGTATGTACCTATGTGTATATATATATATATATATACGTACTGCAGCTTCAGGCCCTGGCCTCGGGATAATCCTTGCGCTCGGAGACCCACCTGGGCTGCAGGGCGACGACCGGATTCTCGGTTCGAGGTTGGCCATGATTAAAAAAAGGGGGCCGTGATAAGTAGAACAGGGTTCACAGGGGTTCCTTTAAAGGGTTCCTTAAAGGGTTCTATAAGGGCTACTATAAAAGTTTAGGGTTAAGGGGCCTTGATAAGTAGAATAGGGTTTCGGGGCCCACTATACTATAATGATAATAAGCAACGCCCAAAAATAGTCTTGGTAAGTTTTTTAGGCCTCTATATTATGCGTTTCCGCAGCTCTCACGGTCTTCTGCGGGTCCCATCGATGGTAAGGGGGGCTCTTCAGCTTTCAGGCTCTGAGGCCCTAAACCCTAAACCCTAAACCCTAAACCCTAAACCCTAAACCCTAAACCCTAAACCCGGAGGACTTCGGCCCAGCTGCCGCTTCACGTGCTGCGAGCGGGCGGCGATCTTGACGACATCGGAGCAGTTCCTGGGGACTTCGGAGAGGCTTCGAGGTTGCTGAAGGCGTGTAGCAAAAGGGGCCGGCTTTCGGGACAGAAGGCCGTTAATGTAGAGGACTTCCTAGTTACCAAGACTGTTTTGTTGGGCTCCTTACTACTAGAAATATAGAATAATATACCCCAGACCCTATCCTAATTGTGACTAAACCCCAAACTCTTATAGTAGCAATTATAGAACCCTATAAGGAACCCTTTAACGGAACAGTATAATTGTAGTAAATTATACCCCAAACAATATTCTAATTATTAAGGCCCTATATCATTCTTGAGGGCTGGAGGAGGTCTTGACTTGTTGGGCTCCGCGAACCTGAGCTGCGGAGACCGCGAGACTTCAGAAATCATTGCGGAGTCGGGGTTTAGGGTTTTAGGAATTTAGGGTTTTAGGGTTTAGGGTTTAGGGTTTAGGGTTTAGGGTTTGTGGCTTAGGATTTGGGGTTTAGGGTTTGGGGTTTAGGGTTTGGGACTGGGACGTCTGGCATTTCTAGTATGTGGGTGTCGTAGCGACCGTGAGCAGGAATATTCGGGATTTAATTGAAGCATGCTAGTGGAAAGTCTGTAGCGCGCGTGCGCGCGCGCTCGGCCTTAAAGACTGCGAATCTTTTGAGACCCTAAGCCGCAGACCCTAAACGGCCACCTGAACAGATCCAAAAAGCCGTTCAAAAGGAAAAGCCGGGGGTAACCGGCTCCTAGGAGAAGGCAAAGGAAGAAGAGAACAACATATCCAGAACACCCTGAACCCCAATCTCCTCCAACCCCTGAGCCATTGAGCCACATTGTGGATCTGATGCCCAGGCACGGGGCGAAGATGCTCAATCGTCGGCCTTTCCGGTCACTCTCATCACTCTGACATGGGATGGGGGTCGTGATTGCCGGCTGGAGCTCGGGGATTTGAAGGAGTGAAGACACAAGACTTTGGAGCATACAAACCCTAAGCCCTAAACCGTACACCCTAAACCCCTAAACCCTTAAACCCCCAAACCCCCAAACCCCAAAACCCCAAAACCCCAAAACCCCTAAACCCTAAACCCTAAGCCCCTAAATCCCCTAAACCCCTAAACCCTCAATCCCCAAAGCATCCCCCAGAGCTCCCCTCTCTGATGCAACCCAGGAGCTCATGCGCTTGCCATAGAGCCATTCCTTGGGCCGGGTGTCCTGCTTATCATACACTGTAGGTTTAGAGTTGAGGTTTAGGGGTTAGGGTTTAGGGGTTAGGGTAACATTGAGAAGAAATACGATAGCATACCAGAAGGTACCAGAGCACACTGCAGCCTACTATAAGTTACTCGAATATACTATCATTTACCATAACATACTAACATCTACCTACTATAAGGTACTATCACATACGATAGTGTACTGTGATATGCAAAAATTTACGGTAACATACCATGTGATACCATAGTATACTGTTACATACTATACTACAAGTTACCACAGTACACTGTTGTATACTATTATACTATAACTTACTATAACATACTAATACCGTGCTGCCGTAGAGGGTTTAGGGTGTAGGGCTCAATGCTTTACGGGTTTCTTCGGCCCTTTAAACGAGATCTCCACACTTGCGCTTACAGGGACTCTATGTCCTGAACCCTAAACCCTCTAGTAGTAGTAAACTCTATAGCATAGTATCGCATACCAATATGCTAGATATTGCAGACATTCTAGTATATTCTCGTTTATTATGGCATCTTATGAAGGGTCAAAGGCTAAAGACCCGTTAACAAAGGGATCCACCCACAACCGGGTCCTTTTTTTACCTTAAACAGTATCCTTTAATCACAGGGACTCCTTAACAAAGGACCTATACCAAAGTTCTAAATCCTAAACCCTAAAGCCTAAACCTTAAAATACCTAAAAACCCTAATCAACCTTGAAGCCCTAAACTCCAAATCCCTGAACCCAACTCCAAATTTCGGGTCCTGCTTCATTGCCCCAGCCTTCTCTAGCTCCTCACCGACCTGGAGCCTAAGCTCTGACTGACGTGCGGGGGAGGGCCCCCCAAAAAGAAGGGTACCGGGGCTTTCCTCAAGGGTTGAAAAACGGGGGGTGTAGGGAGGGCCGGGGAGATGTCTTTTTTGCTTCTTGTGGTTGCGGGTTTCAGGAAACGTTAGGTCTTTCTGAGCGTTATTGATAAAATTGGTGTTGTCGGTAACTTTGCAGTGTTGGGGTCTACAGGGCTTGAAGATTCAAAAGAAGTAAGGATTCAACATAGGTGCCTTAATATTTGAATAGGGTCTTGGGGCCCATTCTACTATATGTGTAATGAGGAACCCCCCCAAAAGAGTATTGGTAATTATTTAGGAAACCCTAAACCCCGGAACCCTCCAACTCCTATTTTATAGCATCCCTTATAGTACTTAACCCTTATAGGACCCGCATTGGCAGTTTTTTTAGGCCCCTAGATTGGCCCTACATCAAGGACTTACGCATCAGGCTTCGGGTTATGGATTAGAGGTTTACAGCTTCAGGATTTTTGAGTGCGAGGGAGAGCTCTTCAGGATTCCAGCATCTGTCATGGTTGCTTGCTTTGTTGAGGTTTAGGGCTTAGGGCTTAG